AGAATAACTTTGTTTCACTAGTGAAAAGGAATTACGGAGGTCATAATGAGAAGCTTCTGCATATTGAATCGCGTGATCGGATGTAAACGATAGTTTATGAAGTAGTTTGAAGAAAAAGATAAGATTTAGTTTGAGTCTCCTCTTCCATAAATAGTATAGCCCGCTTATTACATCTGGAATTATAAGTTAAGATACAATCAGCTCCAAGAATACGAAGTGTAAATCGTCTCTGTACTGATTCCATTCTTAATTTATCTTCTGTGCGCGCACTGCTAAGAATAAACGTGTAATATTCTAGAAGTGGTCGAACACAAACTTTGTCCATTAAAATACGTGACTGATTGTTATAAAGGTTTCGAGTTATGTAACCTACTAGACGTTGAGACATAGAGGTCTGTTTCAATATCTGTTCTGTAAACGACAAGTTTTGGGAGTACATAAGTCCTAAGTCTACTACTGTATGTGACCTAGATAACACTTCGCCATTTATGGTAAGATCTAAGTTGAGTGATGTATCGCCGAAGCATATCCATCTACATTTAGCCGTATTAAGCTCCAGTTGCTATTTTAAGGACCATTGTGCGACCTTGTTAAGCTCCATGCTGATGCGATTTCGCAAATTTTTCAGTTCATGTAACAGAAACAGCGTTATACAATGAAGAATTAATTTTAACTATTTGATGTGAATTGCTGAGAAAGGAATCAAACCAAGCTAGCAAAGGATTTTGAACCCCATAAGATGCGAGTTTACCTATAATAAGTTGATGGCTAACCATGTCCAAAGCTTTAGAAATATGATTCATGTTGACTCAACTTTGGTAGAAGACAGTCACACTGAATCACATGTTGAATAGTATTAGGAAACATCATGTACTATACTATCATTTACCTAGTGGAAAAAATTGTCACAGTTACGATCTTGAATGAATTTTCAAAAGTGAATTATAGTATCAAGTAATAATTATCACGAATAACCCATTTTGAAAAGGGTTAATCATTTACTCTTCATTTGAATACTAATGTCATATTTTGAATCGTAAAATATGTAATCCCATAACTAAGCTTAATTTATAATTATTAGTAAAAGCTATAATGATATATAATTATCAAAATATGTTTTGGGAATATAAATATATATAGAAAATGTAATGTATTTTCTAATTCACTTGTCGTATAAATCAAAACTTAGGTAAAACTATTTTTACCTGAATTATTAACGCAAAGAAGAAAAAAAAGAAGAAAATAATTCAAGAAGTTATCATGTTAAACAAGAAAATGGTTATATGAATTCATGTCTCTTTCCTTCTTAAGTTGACGGGGAGAAGAAAAGGTACAGAGAAACAAAATTATTGTTTATTATTATGAGTACGGTAGTGAAGTTAACGTATACAGTTGTGTGTGTTTTTTTTTTCAATTAATGTGTATCTTTGTTTCAGGGGGATTATGACAATAAATTTGTTGATAAACAGAATTGTATTGGGAATAATGAATAGATGTTTATGCGCAAATAACGTAGTAACTATATATAAATATATATATGCGAAGAAGAAACAGAAGTAGAAAAGATTTAGGTCCTTTGTCTCATTAATTATTTAGACCATTTTACAGATATTGTAGTTATCATTTATAATAACCGCTTTATAAAAAGAAGAAAACAAACTTTACAACCAAACCTCTCTAATAGACATTATAATATCAGATATAAATGTACATGTACGAAATTACAGGTGAATACATTTATATGAATAATATTATATGATAATAATTTTACTCTTCTCTTTGTATATTTACTCAAACTAAATTCATTTAATTGAATGTAGATAAGTTCAAACTCTAAATAACCAATAACAAGTAAAAAAAAGGATTGCAGATGAGCTGTTGAAATAACTACAAGTTTACACATTCATAGACAGAAATATATTTTACCGAATATGTCAAGGTTCTTCAATCATTTCAAAGATGTTTGACAATTTTTATAGTCATTTGGTTCAGATTTTAACCGAATCACCCACAATCCAAAATTTTTATTGGTTGGATATAAAGTGTGATCAATGATGAATTCTACAGAGAATAGAATATTTGTTGTAATCACATTATTTAGCAATACTTGTCTACTTATCATTGACTTTTGGTGGGGGGGGAAATACCTTCAAAAGTACAATACTTCAGTATATCGAATTGTTTGTAGGTGACAAGATCGTTTATGTGAAGTAAGAAAAACTATGAAAACAATTTGTTAAAATGAATGTTTTATCATCATTAGTGTTGTGAACAATATGGATGAAGATGAAGACTTAAAAAAGTTGAACTTCTTCTGAAAATCTTTCGATGATCCTTCAATCAATGTAAGCTAGCAAACAATATAAAATCTAACAAATTTAAGCTTAGGACTTTATTGGTAGATATAGTGTCATTACGAAACACTAACCTCGTAGAGATTTGTGATCTCAGTCTTATCATATTATACCTGTAAGGTCTAGGGATACTACCCAGCTGTTCAAACTTATAAAGCAAGAGCATGGTTTAAATTCACAACTAAGTAAATACAATTTGAGCAGTTTTGCAATTAACCACTCATACTTGCTTCATATTTAGTGAACCAAATTAAAACAAAGCTGTAGTCACAAGCAGTATATGTAAATATGGAAGATGATGAACAGTAGAATCCAGGACAGGCCTTTCGTCCTATTTTGGACCCGGAGTGAACATCAACCCTGAGATGAAGGTAGACCCAGCTGACGAGTCCCAAGTAGGATAAAACGAGCATCACGGATCCCACTGCTAGCCACCATCCATCTTTGCTTATACTGCTTGTGACTTAAGGTAATCCGCACAGAATCCACATATGCCAATAAGAGACTGACCAATTTCAGTCATAAACATCAATGACAAGATTCAAACAAACAATAAAAAATAAATTCAAAGCTGTAATCAGTTTTGAACAATTAGATTGGTTTGATTTCTGCTAGAAATATCATAAATGTCCTTGATATTGTTTTGATAACAAATAAGTAGTTTTTAAGCATGAGGTGACTATGATAATAAGAGAAATTGTTATAGGAAATTTTTATGTATGAAAGACATATAAAGTACAAATTATCATGATTGTCCAAGTGAACTATCAAAAGAATCTTAATTTTCGATATATTCTTTAAACCTATTTAAAATCAATTTAAAGTTATAATTAAAAAAGGAATGTTTCTAAACAGATGCTGTTCTAGAGATTATCTTGTAGCATTAAATATATGGTATGATTTATTCCCTTTTATTTAACCTGAGTTTACAGAATGTAATAAGATTTGAAAAAAATAAAAACATTTTACATTACACTACCATAATATGATTATATTTGGTTATTCACTTAGTAACAATGATTACTAATCAGAACATTTTAAAATTGTACCAAATGATGTTTTGTGAAAAATGTAAAATCCGGAAAACACAGCGCTACTTAAACTAAACAAAGTATTCAGGTGAAGTTTTGTTCTCTGAGCTGAATGGTTTTGTCGTGAAGCTTTCATCGTTCTTCTGAGCAAAATCATCAGCACGAAATTCAGGTAAAAGTTTTCAGAATGGTATTAATGAAGAAATCTTAATATATACAAAAAAGTGATGATTTTACAAAATCCAAGAAAATTCAAACTAAAGCAAAACCTCATTATCATAAAAGAAAGCAACAAAATAAATTAGATAACTCCTAAAATTAAAGATAACTAATGATGCTACGGTCAGCTTAAACCACTCGAATCACGCCTACTAACCATTTATGAGCAGGCCAAATTACATAAATCTAGTGTACGGATGAGACAAATTATATCAAAGATAGTCTATTCATACCACAAACTGCCCAGATAATTAGCTAACTGGAATCACTCCGTAAATAATTAGCCGTATACAGTGTTAAGGACACTTTCGAATTTATAGAAGCAATGAAACAAAAAAGTATAGCAGATAGACTTATGGTTTTAAATATGACATACCTTTGTTTTTTACCAATATCACTTTGGAAGAAATATTTAGCATCATTAATGATTATTCACAACTAATAGTCATACCACAAATTCAGTTCAGACAGTTACTAAGATTCTGAACTAAGAATATACAATCTCAGTACAACAATAAGTTGTATTGTCTAGCAGAGTGTGTAGTGATGGGTAGTCCGTTCGGACCTGTCATTATACATAAGTATAAAAGAAATAAGAACGAATGTTATCAAATGATTGTAAGGTTTGTCTGAATAAGAGTTGAAGCAATACTAATTTTTCCGGTAGTAATCATCATTTGGGTTGTGTTAAGGCTGTGATACTACTACCCGGGTTCCTAAGTCGAAGCCGGTGGTTTTCTTATGAGGTCACACCCGGTGGTCTTGACCTAAAGATCTAGTCCACAAGTCAGTGGAGCAGCGTCAGGAGATGCAGTCTTATGGTAGCCGGTGATCGACAATAGATTCATATGTCTTTTGTCCATTCAGGATCCTGAGGCTCGTGTGCACCATTGGTTTGGAATCAGGGTTTTTCAACTTTCCGAGGTGGACCCTCCGTGTCCACCAACCCGATTAAAGCGCCGAATATTTGCTTTTTGCCTACTTAATTCCGTGAAAAGCACCCTCATTGAGAGAAGGCAGTGAGTAAGACTTCCCTGGTAGTTTCATTAAGTAGATGACATAGATATTCTGCACTAGAAAAGAATCTCAGCTACGCATTAATAATGCGTTAATTCAACAATCCGTAATTACACTTTATAATCATAACAACTAAATAAATCATTAGTTGTTGAGAAAGTTGGCATTATATATAAATAAATATGACAATTTGGAACTCACCCAAAATATAGCATATTTTCACTGCTTATAATGGCTTTTTTTTTCTTAAACACATATTATATTAATTGTTCCGGAAAGCACCTCTATACAGCTTCTGTCATCTTTCAAATGTCGTGAAGTACTTCGGAATTTGCGCAACATACACAACCACTTTTGTGTTTATTTTCTGTTATTTCAGTCACAGCTATATGTCAAATGGAATCGGAAGTTGCAAGAAATGCGTTTAGAGACGCGAGCGATTATCGTACAAATGATCCGTACATTGAAGATTTAATTGACATTTGGTTGAGAAAATGCATTCGTTCAAAAAGTAATAATCCAAGTAATTAATTAGTTGGTTGCTTTTTAAAATGTTAAGGGAATTTATTTTATCGGATCATACAGCTGAATTTGAATTGCAAATAAAAATTCAAATAATATGTTCTAGTGACCTATTTGTTTAAAAATAAATGCGCTCACCAACGAAGGCTGTCTACATTTCTTTAATTATATCAATTTGAAAAATGCCATCTGATTGTTACAAAGTAATTCGTTGAAAATTTAACAATAGTATGTAACTACAGGTACAGATATGCGTGTTTGTACTGCGTTTAAGGTTCATGCAAATTTATATACTTACTGTAGTTATAAAATAATGAAAGGTAGAAAATTACATACTTCTGAAGATTTGTCTGTACAGTGAGGAAGGTTAGATCCTTAAGGTGCTTAATTTTCGAGAAGGCAAAGTGCACAAGTTGTTATCCTGCATCTGAGATACTGACAGCCTTAACTATGATTTATTGTAAACGAATTCAATGTTCTGTTAGGTATTAAAATCCTGTCCTTAAAGCGCGAAACTATCAGAGAGATTAATTCAGTAACGTTCCAATTATTTTTATAATCCCCATCGTCATTACAATCAATGAATGCACTATGCTGTTTTTAACGTACGGTAAATTCACGCCGTCAAAATAATTGAAAGTAACACGATTTTTGTAGACTATCACACATCCCAAATCGGTTTCACTTTATGCAAATTATGGTTTCGTAATTTGTAAAACGAGATTCAAAATACGGATGACTAAGTAAAATAAACTAAGTTAGATGTTATTTTTATGTATGTACCGATAAGTATGAATCTTGTTGTCACACTCTCTTTGCAAGTTATAACAGAAATAACGAAAAAATTGAAAAGTTTGAATGGATAGAAAACTATACTCGTGTCAGCGTAACTTAACAACTTCGCAATCGAATTTTCAAGTTGGCTATTCGGGTTATCCATTGATGTGCCTTTTTATAGTTATTCGTAACAGTTATGCAATACCCTAGTATATTAGTCTTCAACGTTTCTTTAAAACTAATACAATGAAAATCATAATTTGCGATTATCTTTCTTTATAATTATTTGGACTTCAATAAGTCAGTAATAAATTGTTTTTTTTCTTTTTAGGAAGCATACAGAAGCGCCCGTATTATGGCTGAGACTGATTACAATGAATATAGTGAAAATGTACACAACTTATTTCCAGTTGATTGTTACTTTCTTTATTGAAAATATACAACGATAAAGCTTCTTAGTTACAATCTTGGACTTAGAATTAGTTTAGTCAATGCTATGAATAAAATAAATTTCCATTAGGAAGGTGAATACTAAATTCATAGATAAACGTACCGTAACACGGCAGCTCTATATTAGTTCATTTCACTGTATCCAAGTTTATTTAAATAGATGCATTTACATGAACCATTTCTAAACGTAAGTGAGATGTAAATTTCTGAAAAGAAGTTTAACCGGAAGTGTAAATTTCTTCATTTGAGTTATGATTACTAAATATTTTTTCACATAATTAAATCAGAGGAAGACTAGATAAAGACGTCCCACCAATTACTGTTACGGTTTATACAGGAATCTTGTTTCGAGTTACGTTCATATTACCCGCTAGTTCAGTGCCTTGTTTCCTGTAAAACATCTTTTCTGATTTTTCACACTAATAAACATACATGTAACACACGCTAAGACATTATTCATGTAATCATACTAAGTTAACACAACATCTTTGAGTACTTGGTACTGTATGATGTTACTAGAACAAGCAGTAGAGATATGAAAAAACCTCTTCATTCTGTACATGTCCCTCTGGATGATTAAATATTCATATACACAGTGACAAGGAGCATGCCAGCCGATCAAGTCAAGTAGGTAAGTACGTCTTGTCCAATGACTGGTATTTGGTACTTCACGACGGTCTGGTCTGACATACGTTTCACCTGGAACACAAGAAATTAAACCAAACTCGAATCCTGGTGACTAACATCCTTTCAGGCTTGGTCTATTTGCGCAGAGCTCTCGGTATGAACCTTTTACATATACAGGAGCAAGTTGAGGCGGCATTTAACAATGTGCTAGTCTGTTTGGTTGCTATATCAAATCATTGTCCACATCGACCATAGTACAGAATTACACACAAAAAAGATGGATTAATAGGCAACAAACTACCTAAAACGAGGTGAAGAATACGTCACCTAGTCTCTAATTAGTAATTACAGTTCTTAGATCTTATCAACAAGTCCTGCAGCTCAGAAAGACTCACAAAATAAATGGGTTCCATCCATGCCTTAGTGCATCCCTTGTGACCAATCCCCCACTATAATTTAACTTTCATTAAAATAACATCAAATAACATGACGTCTAGAAAGAGCTAACGTATTCCATTCACTGCAGTTTATGAAGATCAGCAGCTCAGGCCGACGATTTTGATGGTGTTCTTTGATGGCATCAGAGAATTCCCGTTGTCACTTTGAACACCTCCAGAGCTTATTGTGTATATAAGTGGACTTTTCGGCTGCTCAACAAGTGCTACATCGATTTTCTCCGATGGCCTTGTTTGTTATTGGGTGTATTAGTAGATATTTTCCCCGTCAGGTGTCCTTGTATTTATGGTAATTATTTCTAGCAGTTGACTCTTGGCCTTGATCCCATACATAAAGATTCACAGATCGGGTCTATACCGATTTCTGTTGATAGCTAATCTGTCTAAATGCCATTTCCTGAGAAATTGGCTGGCATTTTCGGAGTTTTCTCGATCCTAGTTTTAATGTTTCTTTGATTGAATTAATCTCCATAGTTGTCTGGATGCACTAATATAAGTGATGGGAAATTATGCCGGGCCACCGCTGACCTATGTTCATTTGTACATAGGTGAAGGGGACGACCGCTTGTCAAATCGAATATTTTTTGAAGTTGATGCAATTTATTTTGCAGATGGTGGGTTTTTCGTTATTGTCTTTGATCTGTGTAGAATAGAATGAAGCGATCGTACTGCTCTGTAAACGATGTTGCCTCAGAATCCTTGTACTGGTTTTCGAAACATTCATACATGGTTGAACGGCATCTTTTAGTTTCCGGAGTCGGTTCATTAATGGTGGTAATTCATTAGATACTTTACGGTGAAGCTGTTAGGGTAGCCATTCTTGAGGAGCTTCCTCAATTTTCCGCATAGTGAGCGCTGAAGCGAGTTGTTGGTCTTCTGTCTTCAACCTCAACAACTGGTTGTTTTATACTTCAATACTATACCGCCAACCACAAAAACAAACAGGCGATGAGTAAATACTGTTGGTGGCTAAAACTGCGTAACCTAGTATATAAAATATGGCATCACGGTAAAATACAATTAGGTCATTACGCAACAAATCTGAAAATTGATAGAAAATTTCGAAGAACGTCTGTTGCTGCATGCAACAATTGCTGAAAGACGTTTTCACCAGTTGTGAAGTTTGATTAAATTTGTACTCAAAACATATGTCTATAAATGAAGCTAACGTGCTGAACCTTCCTCATCACTTCATATTAAGAGGGTCGAATGCTAATAGGTTATGATGTGACGCTTATATCTCAATTACAAAATGCACACCTTGACTTTCGAGATCTTGAGTTTTTCTATCGCCAAAATATAAAATTAACAAACCTAACGTCAGGACTATCGAAGTGAAGTGAAAGCATCTTCCGAGAACTTTGTTCGTGCAAATTTTTTCTAGCTCATGATTTCGTGGTTTATGTGTACAGAATTTTCGTGATAAACCTTACATGATTTTGCACTTGACTCCGATAGGTTTTTGTAGTTAAGAGTGGACGGAAAAACCAGTAAATATAACAAGTATGCCAGGATAATGCGAAAAGATACCAGGAAATCCACGCTATTTGTAAGTCTTAGCATCGTTCTTTAAAGAGAAAAGCAACCCGTAAACATTACGACTGAATTTTGTTTCCAATCAGAATTAAATGTCAGAACTAAACCGTTCTTCCTAAGCAACCATGCAAGCTTAAAACATGCACCGTTTTTCACAATCGCAAAGTAGATAATCGATGAGAGCATTAAAATATAAACACCTTTGGAATTTTGTATGAGTCAAGATTCGAATGATTATTTGTAAGATATTTACCTATCAAAATGGCCTTATCTTTTAATAACTTTTATGTAAAGGAACATCTACCAGCAATCAGTCTTAAAATAAGAATATCAACAGATTCCACAATATATCAATTAATCACAACAGACAGAGACATGAACAACATCAGGCAACTTAGCTACAGCAAGTATACTAGTACACTACATAAAAGAAGTGGAATGAAGTAACTTTTGTAGGAAATTTTTAGACGTCTGCTTACTTTCTCCACTAATCATGCTACAAAGATTATCTAAAACTAAGTAAATCCAGAGCGGATGCTGAGAAGTTTGACATCGTTTAAATTATAACTCACGACGATAGAAAGGACGCAAATAACCGTAAACTCCAAACGAGACCACAATCGTACAGTAATAATGTGAACTGAAATGATCAGTTCTGGGTACATCACGTTTACTGCTGCTTTTAAGCAAAAGTCATTTGTTGAATCCTTATAGTAAAAGATAGGGACCTAGTCATGTCTCTGAAAAGTACCATTAAGGTGCTTCGTAAGAGATAACTAAATCAGCAATGTAACACAAGGAAGAATTAGAAATCACTTAAACTGGCATTCGCATAGTTTCACGAGCCACTATATTGACGCCTGTGACGTGTAAGAGAGTTTTACCAACACTGAATTCGTTTTCCATTCCAGATACGCCTTCTGTTGAGAGCAGTTGACTCCTATTCGGAATATAACTTAAATGTGACCTTGGGTTAAACAGAGAACAATATTACAAACTATCCAACAGCCAAACTTCAAATAACGTAAAACACTGGTTGCAAATACACGCACGGATCCTCCTATAGCACGAAATATCAAAAGGACTAAAATCAAGATTGACGAATCTTTTAATCAACAAAAGTGAAGCGGTTTCATAGTGCAATATTGACTTGTGTGTAGAATACTTAAGTGCCTCGCTTGCCACCCGATATTCATAAAGCCAAGAAGATTATACAGCATATTACAGAGAATTTAATTGACGTTCCAGCTTACAATATCTACCACTGCAACCTGACAGGTTAAAAAGGGTACATAAACGTAAATGGTACAAAAAATAGGCTGAATGGGAACAAACTGGAGTTGACACTCAATAGTGAGATACTTGTATCTAAAGCATTTCTGAGAACGAATTAAATCGACATAATAACTTTCTAGCCAAGACAACAGAACATTGTGTTGAATTCGGAATCTGGTATTTCGAAATCTGATGGATCAAATTCATCACCATCGTCTACCAGTACTAGTAAAAAACAACAGACCTCACCATTCATTGAAAATTCAAAGAAATCTGAAGAATGACTCATGCAGGAAAGAGAAATCACTCCATCCACAAGTGAGTTTATATTATCAAGGCGAGTGCATAAATCACCGTAGTCATCTGAAATAAAAGCTGTTCTGTATGAGCACAACCTTTGTCTTCATATGCACAGAATTTCTCACATGCTTCCTTATATAAGTTTTCAGGAACTACAGTTTTAGAGGGTCGCATTATTTCTGACTGCAGATGAACATGCTGCTGAATGTTCAAATCTCTTAATCCTAGTTTGCGCTTTGCATTATTC